ACAAGTACGTTACACCACGTTGTGGTCTGTATTTTTGTCTGTCTGTCACGGCATTCTTTCTCTACTATATCGTCATTTCTAGAAAAAGAGCTTCGTTTATTTATTGTTGCTTTTATATCCATTTGCTCATTCATCTGTTGATTAACAGGTTTTGTGGTAAATTGAATATGAAATCATCATAAACCACTTAGAATTCTATGTTTTCGCTCTGTCAAAATGGACGCCGTATTGTCCAAGTAGTCCATTATCCCTTCCTTCTTGACTATACGTTAACTGGTTTTCTTTCTATAGTTTTGATCCGTGTTTATTGAGTACAAACATTAAATGTGTGCAACACTTTCCACTATTTACTACAAAATAGTGTTAATTAAACAATACAAAACAATAGAATTAGCATAATTTAGCAGTATTTAGTGGTATTTATGTTGCACAGTTTTAGTGTTTGTACTCTATCTTTTCTACTTGTTTTGGTGTCATTTTGGCTGTCTGTCAGTGCATTCTTTCTCTAATTATATAGCGGCTATGGACTACATTGATAATACAKTTAGCAGAGGATCAATRTAGGCCTATKATCTTTTTGTTTTGGTGTCTTTTTATCTGTCTTTTCATGCCWGTCCTCTTCGTTTATCTGTTTTCCATTGCCTGTCAAAGTAATTCTAATTTAAGTCATCTTGTAATCTTCTAGACATTGAYGATTGCAAACCTAAYATTTGTCAAAATGGAGGAAAGTGCGTCGATCTTGTAGACGATTACAAATGTCAGTGCTCGCCGGGATACGGAGGGAAAAATTGTGAAACTAGTGAGTAMTACAAGGACCYGGTCTGTTGTTGAACAGGCAAATYAATCATAACAATCAATATGAAATAATTGCAACCAATACATATAATCATTATAGACTTTCCACTGGTGAGGTTACAACTTCGCCATACGTGCATTTCTTTGCAAATTTTGGTGTTTTTGAACACTCCATTTTACAGTTCCAAGGACTGTACGTATACTCTGTGCGACTGTACCACTGTATGTATAATGGGCATAGTTAGTACTCTAATAAATGATTTATATTCTGTCAGATAACAATGAATGTCAATCAGACCCATGCAAGAACGGTGGTCAATGTTATGATCAAGTAAACGGTTACCGATGTCAATGTAAAGGCGGCTACACAGGAACACATTGTGAAACTGGTAGGKACTGAATTAAGTTGATCAAGATGATGTTATTGTAGACTGGGCAATTTGATATGTGTTTGTGTTGTATTCACGTGAATGTTTTTGTGTGCTATTGTCCCGTGGGAAAGGCAAGTTTCGGGATAAAAAGCATGGTCGTGYTTGAGAGAGTGYRATTTTGGGGCTGGTTTGTACTGTCAGAGAGTCGTCGAGATTCGGTCTCTGAGAAGTGTGCCTAAAGACGTTAGCTAACCTCCCGAAGGACGTATCTGTAGTCTGCTGTTACATAGAAGTATAAAGGACATATCTGTAGTCTGTTACATAGAAGTATAAAGGACATATCTGTAGTCTGTTACACAGAAGTATAAAGGACATATCTGTAGTCTGTTACATAGAAGAATAAAGGACATAACTGCGATTTGTTACATTATGAACTATGGTGAATG